TTCTGATATATGAGTGATTTCACGATTTCTCTTCTGTCTCATTGTCATATGTTTCTATGCATTTCTTTTATCTGTACAACGTTTAGCTTTTTTTTTTCTGGGCATGAGTTACAGATGATAACCATATGGAGCTGTAGTCAATTATTTTGAATAATAACCAACAGTTAACAATTGATTTATAGATATTCTCTCTGCATAATTTTTATTGGGGTTGCATTAACTAATTTTATTTCTAGTCCATGTAGATTTTATCCTCGCAGTAATTAGCATGTGATGGGAAGATAAGCATTTCTATGTTGAATAGTTGCTATATATCTTGGGAGTAGCGGTTAATAGGTCTCAGAGAGTGTTTTTGTTAAGATATAGAAAAGCATGTTAGGGACCTTCCTTGTACCTTTGTTTGGTCTATGTTCATTTTGGAGCTTTCTTTGGATGGGATATATTTGTGGGATATATTTGTGCACAGACGGTTAACATCCATGGGAGAGTTTGTACATCTTAGGCCACTTATTTATCTGCTGTCACATGTCGCTATATTGATAATAGCATATCCCCAGAAACTATTAACCTTTTTTAGTCTTCTCATAATGTTTCAGGTTTCAGGTCGGTTATCAGAGCTTAAAACTACCATAGGTGCTGGGTTGGATCACCGCAACATTCTTTTGGAGACCATTGGAGACAAATTTGAGCAATGGAACCTCAAGGTATTATCCTATTTGGAGCTTTGTTTTCGCTAGCAGAGTGCTCATTGATACTCATTATCAGTGTTAGGTAAAATCAATTATCATCATTAATCTTTACCTATGCAGGTTCGCAAAGAAAAAGCCATCTATCACACCTTGAACATGCTTAGTCTAGATGTGACCAAGAAGTGCCTTGTGGGTGAAGGCTGGAGTCCTGTCTTTGCAGCAACAGAAGTGAGTTACTTTAGTTGCATATATTAAAATTATTTGCATGTTTATTAGTGCCATAGTGAGTTTAAAGTTTTGCATCTGCAGGTTCAAGATGCATTGCAGCGTGCTGCGGTTGACTCCAATTCTCAAGTTGGATCAATTTTCCAAGTCCTGAGGACCAAAGAGATGCCTCCAACTTTTTTCCGCACAAACAAATTTACTACTGCTTTCCAGGAAATTGTTGATGCATACGGGTAAGCATCTTTTCTGGAGCTTCATCTGCTAGGAAAGAGGATATTGGAATTAGGATTGGTAATAAGTAACATTTTATTAGAGGATACTTGATAATATGTTTTTGCCTCTTATACATTCATTAAGATATAAATTTATGTTTTGGTTTCACCTGTTTCTAACTTTGTATTAGCTTCCGTTTACTTAATATGGAATACCCCTGAATAATTTCTATAAGCTGTGTGTTTCGATGATCTATTCAGATGGTAGAAACAATCTTTCTTGCTTGCTTAATTTTTTCTCATGCAATGTCCATTTGTATTATTAGTGTTCGTCTCTTGAATTTCATGGATCTTCTTTGATCACTACATTGCAGTGTGGCCAAATATCAGGAGGCCAATCCTAGTGTATTCACAATTGTTACCTTCCCCTTCCTGTTTGCTGTTATGTTTGGTGACTGGGGTCATGGAATCTGCCTGCTGCTTGCAACTATGTATTTAATATTGAGAGAAAAGAAACTTTCCAGCCAGGTAATACCCCTAATTGACAGCATCTATTTTCCGACTGAGCACAGTATAAGATTGGTTTCTGTTTTAGCAAAACGCGCAGATTGTTTTGTTTTGTTTTGTTTGTTGCTGTATTAAGAGTTGTGTGCAAATGTCCATTTCAATAAAATTCACTTGAGAGTTATTACTTTGATTGGTCGTCAATGTTTGTCTTTCTTGCAAGTTCTAGATGCTAAATCATCAATCCTTGCTTCCTGACAACAGAAACTCGGGGATATTATGGAAATGGCTTTTGGTGGTCGTTACGTTATTTTTATGATGTCACTCTTCTCAATATACACTGGTTTAATTTACAACGAGTTCTTCTCTATACCATATCCATTGTTTGCTAGCTCAGCATACGAATGCCGTGATGTCTCTTGCAGGTATGTCAACTTGTTCTTAAACCCCTTTTAAAAGAAATTCATTAGAGGAATATCTTTAAGATTCTGAGTTTCTGTCTTCTGCTCTCTTGTTCAGTGAGGCTACTACAATTGGTCTGATCAAAACCCGAGACACTTATCCATTTGGCGTGGATCCTGTGTGGCATGGTACCCGCAGTGAGCTACCATTCCTGAATTCGCTTAAGATGAAAATGTCAATTCTTATTGGAGTTGCACAAATGAACCTCGGAATCATAATGAGCTTCTTTAATGCAAAATTCTTCAAAAGTGCTGTAAACGTATGGTGAGTATTCAATTTTCTTCCCGGATCATTACGTACTCCTCCCAGTTCTCTGATCCTCTCCCTAGCAAATAAAGTTGGTCTAAATTATAATTGTCTGATCTCACATGGTTTCAGGTTCCAGTTCGTTCCCCAGATGATATTCTTGAACTGCTTGTTTGGCTATCTTTCGGTCCTCATCATCATAAAGTGGTGCACTGGTTCTCAAGCAGATTTATATCACGTAATGATCTACATGTTCCTGAGCCCTATGGATGATTTAGGAGAGAATCAGCTTTTCCCTAACCAGAAAATAGTACAGGTTTGCATTGATACCTAACTATGTACTCTCTCTCTATCAAAAATTTGATGCTTTAGTCTCATCTAATTCCTTTCCTATTCCAGCTCACATTCCTCTTTCTGGCTCTGGTTTCTGTTCCGTGGATGTTGTTGCCAAAGCCATTCATCCTGAAAAAACAACATGAAGCTGTGAGTCCCTTTCCTCGTCGATATACTTAAAAGCTTCCATATTGAAATTTGTGCTGACCATTACCGAAAGGTGATTTTTGTTTTCTCCAGAGACATCAAGGTCTGTCATATGCACATCTTGATGAGACAGATGAGAGTCTTCAAGTAGAAACAAATGGGGGAGGACATGGACACGAAGAGTTTGAATTCAGTGAAATCTTTGTGCACCAACTCATTCACACCATTGAATTTGTGCTTGGAGCTGTTTCCAACACTGCTTCTTATCTTCGTCTCTGGGCCCTCAGGTACAAACTACAACTTGCAAAGACTCCAAATAGTACTGATTGTCATCTAACAGAAGTCCTACCGAAACTAGCACTTGTCAATATCATTTAGCAATACTATCCGGTTTAATTTCGGAAGTATTGGTATGTGACTACTTGCGCATGTCATGACTAATCTCTATGCTTTGCTGGCATTCTTATTCAGTCTCGCCCACTCGGAGTTGTCGTCAGTCTTCTACGAGAAGGTCCTCCTTATGGCTTGGGGGTAAGTAAATGCATCTACAATCTTTTAGCCTCCCTATGCAAATGACAACTAATACGCTGTAGAAGGTGTTAATAACAATCTTTCTCTCTTGAACAGTTTTAACAATGTCTTCATCTTGATTATTGGGATCCTCGTCTTCATCTTTGCGACTGTGGGAGTGCTTCTTGTGATGGAGACATTGAGTGCGTTCCTTCACGCGCTGCGTCTTCACTGGGTGGAGTACCAGAACAAGTTCTACGAAGGCGATGGTTACAAGTTTGCTCCTTTCACTTTCACTCTCGACGGAAACGAAGACGAGTGATTGATGTTCCGAATTACCAGAAATGCCTTCTTCTGCGTGTGCATATATAAGGTATGGGAAGGAAGGATTCTGAGTTCCTTCTCTAATTAATTTTTCTTTTCTTTTTTAATTTAAGAAAGAAATTTGGATGTTTTCTCTTCCCCTTTTTCCTTATTAGAAGGCTTTATTGAATTTATTTACTTTTTGCGGAGAAAAAAATGGTGAAAATAATAAAAATAGGGGAAGAATGGGATTGTAAATGCCCCATTTGTTGTTGTGTTTGTGGAAAAAAATAAGCTGGTGTTGTGTGATCACCATTATATGATTTTTTTTAATATAATTAGAAATAGCAAAAAAAAGAGCATTGTTCTTTTGGTGAAATGATTCTAAAAGATGAACTATTTTTATTGTTAAGGATTTGCTTACTCATGTTATTGTCCAATCTGCAGATCACGATTTTCTTTAGCTTAATTGCTAATATTGGGAATTTTTTGATGATAGAGTATGATTGGGTATAAAGATAATGAAATTCATGAAATAGCTATGTTAATTAAAGAGAAAATGGGTTACACAGTTAAACTCTCATACAACTCTAATATAACTTAATCTTCCCTTACACTCTCATCGGCCCACTCTTGAACAAATTCGAGGCATTGGAGAGGAAAATCAAGATTCAGGTGAATATTTGCGTCTTTGTCAAGGCATTCAGATGTGTAAATAAGAAGGAACAGAGTGGAGACAAACACACAATATTATATGCGAGTTATAGCCTTAATATGGACTAGGTTTGGGCATTTGGGTATCAATTCGGGCTTAGATCAGGTATTTTAAGTTTCGGGTATTTCCGTTCTTAAGTTTAAGTCCCATTCAAGATTTTTTTAAATATTTGGATCGGTTTCGGTTTCAGTTTGGTATCTTTAGGATTCGGATCGATTCGAGTGTAGAGTTCGTTTCAATGGTGTTGTCCCTTTAAGAATGGATAGTTTTCTCCAATCTTCTTGTGCTTACTTTTCTAATTTCTCTCTCTCGTATTTCTAGAACTTGTAATCTTATAAAGTCGGTTTTTAGCTCGGTCTTAAAAACTTTATCTCTGAGATTTCTTTTCTAAATTTTTCTTCCTCATAATTAGACTACCAATCAAAGAGCACTTTTTAATTAATGTGTAGGTAAACGAAAAAAAACGTGTTGTGCTTGAAAAACAAAAAACTTATTGTCTTGTTTTGTGGGATTCCAAAAAAATAAATGATGACATGAAATAAAAGTAAATAGTTCAACTTTTAAGACTAAAATTAAGAAATGTCCAAAATGTTAAATTTGGTAAAAAAAAACCGTCAAAATATACATTTATGAACAGTCCCACAGTTTACACGCCAATCAACCCCTTAGTTCAAACTTTCCTTTTCACAAAAAGGTAGCAATTAATGAAAGTTTGTTTCACAACTTTGCAAGGACGTTTGCAACCCTCTCTTTTCCTTTATATATATAGAGTCATACTTTCCCGAGAAAATATAGGAACTAAACAACAATGGAAAAATATGATCAAAATTTGATTTCCAAAAAACAGCGGATAGATTATGCGACTACCAAAGATATCCCAAACCTTAAAGGCGAGGGTTGTTCTAAGGTCGCCGAATCTGCCTTCGCAACAAAAAAATGTGCGAACAGTTTAGTCTACAGATTGTCCTTCAAGGGTTTGGTGAGTGATGAAACAACGGTAGACATGAAAGGGACTGTGACGGGTGGATTTGGGATAGCGATCTGCGATGAGACGGATATCTTGTTGCATGAAAGGAAGGAATCATTGAACGGTGCTATGATTAATCGCGAAGAAGTAGAGATTATAGCACTTATTACTGGGTTAAAGGACTCAATTCAATTGGAGTTTAGAAATGTCATGATTTGCTGCGATGACCATCAAATTTACCAAATCGTGAGTGTTTTTTCTTTGTTAATTTTTTCGTAAGATTAATACAAAATAAAAATAACGCTAGTTTTACATAGATAATGCAAATGATATTTTTATCCTAGTATTTGAAATCTCATTGGATGTTTAGATTCATTTGGTATCTTATTAAGTTTTTAAAAAAATTCTTAATTCTTATAAAGTAGTGTTACTTTTGCTGTTTTGCATCTATAATACACATAATTGTTTATAATTTTAATAATAAATATCGGTTTTTGTTTAGTGAAATATTTTTCATTATTTGTACTGTTATATCGTTACCAATCAAAATAATGATTTGTATTGGCTTGTATTGATGTTTCATTTCAGATAACTGGTGGACAGAAGCCTCAACAGAACATTGTCCATCTTGTGGAAGAAGTCCAACGCCTTAGAGGGGAACTGGCTTCTACTGAAGTTGTTTTGGTTGCGGAAACTGATGTTAACTATGTTCTTAGACTTGCAAGAGAGGCACTACAGAGAAAAACTTGTGACATTTGTTGTGAAGACACCGATGCTGATCGCATGTTCTTGACTGACAAATGCTTTCACCGCCATTGCTTTTCTTGCGTGAAAAAGCATGTGGAAGCGAATCTGCTTATCGGAATTTCACCCACATGCCTTGGAAATGGATGCAAGTTTGAGCTCACTCTTGAAAGCTGTAGCATGGTTTTGACACCAAAGCTGATTGAGATGTGGAAACGAAAGATGGAAGAGGACTTAATTCCCGCTGCGGACAAAATCTATTGTCCATATCCAAGCTGCTCAAAGTTGATGTCCAAAACCGCGCTTTCCCGTGAAACCAACCAATCAAATGTCCGGGCATGTGTCAAATGCTGTGGACTCTTCTGCATTGAGTGCAAAGTACCACCGCATCCTGATTTGTCGTGTGCTGATTACAAGAAACTTAACCCTGAACCTCTATTTGATGACAAGAAGCTCAAGTCTCTAGCAAACGACAAGAAATGGCGTCAATGTGTCCAGTGTAGCCAGTTGATTGAACTTCGTGAGGGTTGCAACCACATTACTTGCAGGTATATATATATATAGAATCCGATTAAGCTACTTTATATAATATGAATACTTATATTTCACAATGTTTTTGTGTGTGCATTGTGTAGATGTAGATATGAGTTTTGCTACGTATGTGGGAACGAATGGAAGGAGAACCAACGATCCTGCACTTCTGGTTGCAAACTTGATCATGATGATGATGATGAGGATTATGATATTGATGACAGCGATGATGATGATGATGATGACAGCGATGATGATGATGATGATGATGATGACGGAGATGATGATGATGGCTCAAAATATAGCAGTGAAGCGGAAAGAGATGGGATTAACTTTGAAGATTTTGCGGTTTACCAACCCTAATATCTCAAATGAGCAGAAAGATAAGAGCAACTGAATTGCTCGGAAGTCATGTAATGTTTTCTTTTTCTTTTGAAATTTAGATATAATAAGATAAGTCATGTAATGTTAAAGACCTATTAAGGAATTGTAAGCCCATGGCTTTGTGTTTCGAATTCACCAAGAAATGTGTTTTTCTTAAGTTATTTACAGATTTTAAATAGCATTGCAACAGAGAGCCTAATAATGTAAAGCTCAAGAAGTGGCAGCAGCGACGGTTGAGACCAAACTATCAACACCGCAAATGTTACGACCTCTACATATCTTATAGAAACCATTCTCACCCCAAGACTCACCCCAAGAGTTCTTGATGATCCAATACGGTTTTTCCTTTAACCTTGCTTGAGCAAACCCAGCCGAGCCATAACCCACCAACAACACACCGTGGTTAAGCCGCCTAGAGCAAATGTAAGGACACGAGACTCCTCCAATGTAGGTTTGCATATAAGCTGCGTTGATGGCCACAGCTAGAGGACCATTTTTGACAAGGTTTGCAGCTATTTGATCTTCGTTGATAGACACAACACTAAAGTTGGAGACAGAGGCAACGATCTTAGACCTGTCTAACTTGCAGCTCCCTCCATCAGTACCGGTGTAAGGATAATCTTTCTCTCGCATAAGCCCTCCGGTTTTAAGCGTGTACTCAAAGGCACTGTTCATAAGCCCACCGTTGCAACCAGAGTCACATGAACCTGCCTCTTCTGGATCACACTGCAAATAAACTGAGATTAAGAATTTGTAATCTTCTAAAGATAATAGCACAGTTAAGCCAAGTCTAACCTCATGATCACAATCCACGAGCTGTTGTTCACTGAGACTAACGAGTTTGCCAGTCGCGAGAAAGTGAGCACCTTCAAGAGCACCTGTAGTGCTAAAACTCCAGCAAGATCCACAAGATCCCTAATAAACAGTAATCAATCAAATTTCAAACCCATCAATATTCATATACTCCAAATGAAATCGTTATTACCTGGTTTTTCACGGGAGTAACCGCGCCGCGATCTCTCCAATCAAACTCCTCTGGAAGATTGTGAGTTGGGAGAATCGGAGCTTGATTAGCGTCTTTAGGAAGCTTAAACCCACCTTTAACCCCTAAATGCTTTCTCCGAAACTCAGAACGAGTCAGATCCGAAAACTGCGTAACGCCATGACGAGCAGATGGATCCATCTTCTGGTGACGCATCGCTCGCCGGAGATTAGCTTTGAAAACAGAGAATCTGTAATAATGCTCTTCAATAGAATCGTAAACTTTCCCGAATTTCTTCTTGAAGAGAGTAAAGTGATCCTCCAATGACAAAACTTTCGGCTCCGCTTCCTCAACTACTTGCCTGATCAATATATCTTCGTCTCCGCAAATCGAAACAGAGACGAATACAAAGAGAAGAGAAACAGAGAACAAAACCCTAAGATGATCCATGACTTTGGAAATTATGGAGAGAAAACAGAGAGGAAGAGAGAGTTGAGGGATTAAATATAAAAATCTTAGGCTTGGAACCAATGATGACTTGACACGTGGAAATTGATGACCAGTAGTTGTTATCTAATTTTCCCGCGAGATTGTTAGTTGGCACACACCTACGGAGTTTTCGGGAGTTTGGTAAATAACCGTTATAGGATATATTTAACATGCTAACTTTGCAGAATAAACCGGTCCGGTTCAACAAAATAAGTCCTGATTTGATAAGGTTCGAGTTCGGTCTAGTTCTGACAATACAAAAACAAAACAAGGACGTGTTTTCAGGAATCAACACTTTAGATTTTTAAGACGGTATAAAAAACAATACAATGAAACTTGAGGATCAAAACTGACATTTGATTACAAGTCTCAGGATTCGAACCACCTCCTGACTTGACCGGAACTCTGTTTTTGGGGGCCGGTTTTGGCCGAGCTCTGCGAGAACTTAGATCTGTATTTCTCAATCAACATATCAAGTTTGTCCACAACCTCTGCACCACCTTGACCTTGACCTTGCTTCTTCTTCCTCTTCCTCTGTCCATTTATATTCTCTTCACCTCTATCCTCCCCAAACTTCCTTTTTCTTGGTTCGCTCAAATCTTTGGAAATCTTTGGATTTGGTTTCTCAGTTGGCTCTTTCTGTCTCATCAATTGGCCTTTCTTGTTTGAAGACGGTTTTTCCTGTGTGCGTATAGGTCTCTTCTTCTCTGCTGCATCATCCTTTACTGCTATATTGGATTTTGCTTCTTCTTTACTCTCTACACGTGGGTGCACAGGTCCCTTCTTAAACCTGGCTGCATTCTCTTTCCTTGGACCAGTGTTATCCTCTTCCCTCGTTTTTCGTTTGTATTTATTGTCAGGTGCCTGTGCTTCGCCATTCGACTGCTGCTGCTGCTCAGATTCATTGTGTTTATCGCGTTGCTGGAACTGCTGCTGCTTAGCTTCTCGTATCTTCAGCTTCTGGACATTATCAACAGCAAATTCTATAACAGGGCGGTGCTGGGGACCAAATGTTTCTGCAGAGATAAACCAAAACGATTACCCTAACATGAAAATTATGATTCTTGGACTTCACTGCATTCTAAATCGCATGCAAAAATGATACTTCTCTCATCTTACTCTGATTAATGAGATAACCACAAAATGATCAAATTGCAAATCGTTTAGAAAAAGTACTTGAATTTCAATGGGAAGTTAGCTTCCAGCAAGATCAATTACCAGGATTGTTGTTAAGTACTCTCAGGGCCACTAGAGCATGTTCATGCTCCGTGAACTCGACAAAGGCAACTCCACGGGAGTAGTTCTTAGTATCAACTTTACCCTTCTTCTCATTTTGTAAGAACTTGATCTGCGTAGAAAACAAAGACACTAGGTTCAGATAATAGAACTATGTTTGAATTGTACCACAAAGGCGAATAGCTGACCTGTTGAATACGCGGCTTCTGCTTTGTAGCTCGTGAGGTAACAGCATCAACTAAGAGCTTGTGTAGTTGCTTTTGATTCATGGATTTGGGCAAATTATAGATCACAAGCCTTGTTCGAGATACATGGAAGTTAGGAGACTGAAGCTTTTTCATCTTGTTTTCATGCAATCTGCGAGGACAATCACATGCTCACTCTTCTCTCATCCCAAATCACTAGACAGTAACGTGCATATATGGGAAAGTAAGAAAATTTTTACCTTCGTCGCCTGTCCATATCTTCCGCAGACACACCCTCAGCAGCAGGTGAATCATCAAGGATCTGACCTTCCTGTGGAAAGTCAAAACAGGATGATATATCAGTGTGTTTGAAAAGCATGCAGATAATACGATTTCCAAAGATTTGTGAGGACTGGGAGAAATGTGTACCTTAGCAAGATAAAGATTCCGATGGTCAACATTCTTCTCCTCTGTCTTTTTGAGTTCTATGTCATGTGCAGCTTTCTTACCCACAGCTCTCATAACGTTCAGTTGCCTGCCTCTAAGAAGGACACCGACACCTGAGGCAGTATTGGCAGCTGATATGGCTGCAACTGATGCATCTGCTTTTTTGAACTTGAGAAAAGCAGTCCCTTCTGGCCGTCTGAGAAGAAAACACATAGAGAGAAAAATGTGAAGCTTTGAGTTTATGGAGATACCAGAGCTTTAAGTTTGTTTTAATGATTGAATGAATTTCAAAGCATATAAGAATGCATACTTTGTGACCTTGTGGAGAACCAGGAATAAAGATTCAACTTCCCCAAATACAGCAAACCTCTGTTTGAGTTCTTCCTTAGTAACATCAAATGGGATGTTTCTTATAAATAAAGTTCTCTCAAAATCCTCATTTTCCTGCGTTTCTTTAGGAGCCACCTCTTTAGTTTTACCGGATTTCGAAGGTTCAGAGACACCAGAAGAGTCAGCAACTGGCTTAGTTGATGAATTTTTAAGTTTGCTTTTATCCGACTCCTCTGTCTCTCCATCAGGAGAAGCAATAGAACCTTTTGAAGACGCAAGCAAGTTCTTAAGAACCTTTCTCGCAACATCTGCTTCCTCTTCAAAATTCATATCGGTCCCAACATCTTTCTCCTGTGCATCTGATTCACTCAGTTTGTTACTGCCATCCTCCTCCTCATCATCAGTATCATCTCCTGAAGGTGGGTGACTTTCTACAGCATCATCAACCTCCTCCAAATCAACACTACTGTTATCACTGTCCCCGTCACTTCCTTTTTGGTCACCTGCCAAGGTTTGCGTCAAAAAAGCATGACTATATGTTAGGAGGAGATAAAACAAAACTTCCCAGTGACTGTATCTATTTCCCTCATATACAAGTTGAGTAAAAAGTTTTTAATAATTAGAGTTCATAAAAAATCCAGTGATAAAAAGAAAATACGGTAACATACCATCTGCTGAAGCAGTAGTGGCATCAGCAGCACCATTGTAAAGATTCTTAGGTACAGCCCAATCTACAGCTATAGGCCTTTTACCAAACATGTGCCCATTGAACTTTTGAATTGCCTGAAGATGCAAAAGTAATTAAGACAAGTGATACGCATGGAGGATAAGAAAATCAAGATACCCAAGTTACTAGATCTTACATTTTCTGCATCTTTCTTACACGTGAATTTGACAAATGCAAAACCCTTAGGTAGCCTGCAAAAATATTAAACTAAAATGAGAATAATATACAATGATTTATTCAAAATCAAGAAATCACTCAGACGAGTTAGAACATACCCAGTTTCAAAATTTTTAGGAATAAAAACATCCCAGACAAACCCTACTGCTGAAAAGACCTGTTTAATGTCACTAGGTTTAGCCTGCAAAATTCAAAAAATCCATGAGAAGCAACGAATTTATGTATGAAATTGTAGAGAAGGCCAAAAAGTTAAGAACCTGGAAAGGAAGATTTCGTATAATTAGTTTCCACTTCTGAGCCTTTGAACCCTACCTCCAAAAAACACCAATAAATTATCAACTGATTCACATGCTAATCATTTAAGAGATACAGTGGTGAAAAGTAAATGATGTTCACCTCCCCACCAAGCTGACGAGCCCAAATGAGATTTCCCTTTATCTCTGTTTGATGTAATTTTGCAACAACGGCACAAGCAGATTTGACACTCGTAAAAAGAACAGCTGATGCTTCTGCCCTGCATCCATCTTGGGTAAGACCTGAAAAAGTAATAGTTCTGACGCTTAATAAATGCATCATGAGCACAAAGTCTGGCATGTTCTTATAAGAAACCAAATAAGTTTACAGCTACATGCCCACAGTAGTAATTAAGACGTGGATAAGGATGTCTTGCAAACTATATTCAAAAACTATAAAGGGTATGTGCACACAGGCTTTAAGAAAATATGACGTTATGTGCACAGGCTTTAAGAAAATATGACGTGATATATATAACAAATAGACGTAGTTAAGTGAAGATATAAAGTAACAAGCTAGATCTGTTCAAAACAAAAAAAAAAGTAACAAGCTAGTACTAAGCCACAAGATAAAGAAACGCCAGGCAATGGAAAACTTATTAATGGAAAACACGAGCAGGAGATGCATTCCAACATCAATATTTCGAAAGTCAATATAATTCCAACACTAGCGAAAAAAGGTGTTTTTACTTTATACTTAAATCTCTTCCCAGGAATTTTACGAAACCTGTTATAGACTTATAGCTAATATAATCAATGGAAATTCATGTCCTAATAGTGTTCATTGAGACTAGTCATTTTGTGCAGTGACGATTTCGTAGGCATAGATCAAGCAGCTTTGAAGGATAACTTGACAGTTTTAAGAAATAAAAACCTTGTAACTAATTGATATAACTAATAGACTTGGTTGGGGTATGCAAACAGGCCTTTGCCTCCATTTTCTTTACAAGATTGTTACCATTTTGTTGGAGCTCTTCTTTGGGTAGGGGATATCTGACAGAGCACACAGTTCCAATCTCCTTGACTCGACTATGGACTACCTCTGCCATCTCAGCATTAGCAAGCCCACCAAATATTACAGTTCTGGCAACTCTTCACCCATGAAAAAAAAAGTAAACATATATATAAGCAAGAAAACGAAAAACACAGTTTTGATGATGCGTATAGAATATTAGGTTTACAAATCTTTCTAATTACATGCTTACTCTCAAAAACATAGTTTTGGTTACAAAGGCAATTATAAATTCATTCAGGATATTTATCTATACAGAAATCAGCACATTATTCTAAAAATCATACCTTTGCTTATCTGAACATGTTTCTTTATCAGGTAAATCAACATGAAGCTTTGTTGGTCTTTTGCGCTCAATTGGCTTCTCTACTTTTTTGCTCTCAATTGGCTTCTCTACTTGTTTGCGCTCAATTGGCTTCTCTACTTTTTTGCTCTCAATTGGCTTCTCTACTTTTTTTCGCTCAATTGGCTTCTCTACTTTTTTGCTCTCAATTGGCTTCTCTACTTTCTTGCGGTCAATTGGCTTCTCTACTTTTGTTTCAGGTGGAGGAACTGATGCAAATACAAATTAAATGATAAACTCGAACCAAAGCAACTTACTTAGAGTGAAAAATCAAATATAGGCAAGCTTATACCTTTCTCGTCTGTCTCGGGGATCAAAGTGTCCTTGTCACTCTGTGCCTGGGAATCATCAGGTAAAGAGATTCCTAATTCGGAAAAAGTAAGAAAAATATAAATGTTAGACAAGAAAAATGGATGTCAAAGAACAGGTGAATGCTGAGATAACAATAGGTGAATACAAACCTTGAGCTGCTTTAGTTCGACGCTCTTGAAGAGAAGGTCGATTTGTGGCTTGTTTAACAGTAATCCTACGGCCCCCAATAGTAGAACCGTTCTTCAACTCAATGGCACGGTTAACATCTTCTGGTAAAGCACTGTAAAAGGAAGAAACTTGGGATTGTAACAACCAATATCATCACTTTGCCCAGTAAGAAAAATAGTGATTAGCTTACAATGTAACAAACGCAAAGCCACGGTGTTCATTAGAACCTGCAAATAAATAAATAAAGATCATTAGCTTCTGAATAAGCGTGCGTGATGATAACTTAAATTTCAAATTCTCACCTTTATTTGTGATCAGAAAGCAACGCCTGACGGGACCAACTTCACTAAAGGCTTCTTCAAGCTGAAGCAATTTGAAGAAAACAAACAACGCTACTAAGTAATACATAGGTTTCTACAACTACAAGCCAACCTCCAATTATCGGTAGGATCAAAGAAGGTACCTGAGCGTTGGTGATGGAATAAGGCAAGCCAGAGACGCAAACAATGGTGGCAGACTGTGGAGATTTTTCTTCTCCATCTTTCCTCTCTTTCTTGTTTTTCCCCATTGATAAAACCTTAAGCACTCTAGCGAGAGATTACGATTAGGGTTTTTCACAATTTTTTGTTTTGAGGAAGAGAGGCTGAAGATGATGTGAAGAAGAAATCTAGGGTTTATCTTACTAAAACCACTTAACCATGTTAACCGACTTACCCAGATAAAATTACTCCGAACCGAATGGTACGTTTTCTGTTTGCTCGGTTCGGTTTTTTCAAGTTTTCGGTTTAATTTATTTATTTTTACTATATTTTTGGCACTAGTGATCGGTTCTTTTTTACTGTTTTTATAAACTCAACAACAGTACATATGTAATTGAAATACAAATGAAAAATAAACTTAAATTTACTAGAAAGTCATTCAAATTAAAAGAAAACAACCAATCGAAACAGAAACCGAAACCTCGTTGAACCATCCAACGAGATTTGATTTCAATTCGGTTCATCTCTTAAACCAAATTGTTTAGAAAATATAAAATATGCAAATATTATTATTATCTGATTGACCAAACGATCAATATCCGGTTCGAACCGGTTAGAATCGGTTATCAAATCAGTTTACCTTGTGTATAAACACTTGATATCTTCCTTCATCTTGGTCGTTTCAAGAAACGCATCACTGGAGTGATCAACATCAATGGCTCTTAGCCCAAAATCACCTCTTCCTGATCCAACATTCCACTCGAACCACATCTTCGACATCATCTCTTTACGTGTACACGTTTCGTAGTTCTCTTCCTCTGGTGAATCCGCAGCTACGAGCTTGTACGCATACACTTTCCTCTTCTGTCCTGGTCTATAAGCTCGAGCCACGGCTTGCTGAGTCACTGATGGGTTCAGATGAACATCAAGAATCAGAACCCGTGATGCACCCACCAATGATATTCCTTCCCCACAAGCTTTGATCGATCCGAAAAACACTTTAGCCTCTGGTGAATTATTGAATCGCTCCATTGACCATTCTCTCTGTTCATTGCTTGAATCACCAGTGATTGTGAACATCTCTTTCCCTAAACACCAACCTTTCATTGAGCTCATGAGTCTCTCAAGAGTCTTTATTGGAACAATGTATTGGCTGAACACCAAAAGCTTCTCTCCTGTTGATTCACACAGAGCTAAGAGGTTGAGGAAGAATTTCATCTTCACACCATCTCTGACATTGATCTTATTCAGCATCTTGTCCAGCTTCATAACTGTTGTATTGTTATCAGCAAAACCTTTTTCCCCGTTGGACGGGTTTTCCTCCAAGAAAGATTTGAGCTTTGGGTGTATATACAAAGCAGCACCAAGAGAGATCTGCTTGAACAGTTCCATTTTCCTCAGACCCTTGACTTCATCTCTCTGGATTGAGCTCAGGTTGAGCATGACAGTGAACTCACTAAGACCCGGAAGCAAGCCGCTGAAATCTGCTTTGTGATAATGCAAGATATTACGGGTCATTTCGCGTAGATCCTTTATCAAGCTGGCTTTGGCAGAAAATTCTGTACTTCTCTGTAATGTAAGCTCTACTGCAGCGAAGAAAGTCCCCTCGATACTACTCTGGTTCACCTGTTTGCCTCTCGGTATCTCTGCCTTGCTCATGATACGAGAAACAATCTCCCGAGTTCCAGGACGCTTCAAGAACTTGGGACGAACAAGATTCAAAATGTTAAACACTTCCTCAACGTTGTTTTGGAACAAGGTACCTGTGAGAACCACCTTCCGAGGAGTTTTGACACGAGCAAGCGAAATAAGCATGTTGGTCTCCTTATTCCTTGACGTATGACCCTCATCAAGTATAAGCAACGTTGGCTTCTCAAGCAATATCAGCTTACAATCTTCTGAAGCTGCCTCAAAATTCTTATCATCGCAGATGATCCTCGTAAACTGTTGGTACCCAAGAAACAGAATGCTTCTCTCCTTGAGCCATTGCCCCAAAACCTTCAGTTGCTGCTTCCTTGATTCTGCTTTCACGCTGTAGAAATCAAGCAGGGGAATCTTCTCTACTTCCCACAAAGTAAACTCTCTCTTCCATGACTCTATGATCCCCTTTGGTAGCACAATCAATGGTCTAGCCTGCGGATCCATAGCCATGAAGCTCTGCAGAAAGCTGATGAGCAGAAATGTCTTGCCTGATCCAGGTGCATGAGCTAATATGCATCCACCTGGCTCATCAGCTGCAAGGTTGTTGCATAAAAATCTGAATCCTTCAGTCTGGTGAGGCCTCATCTCCTGATCATGCCATGGGTGAATGAACATTTTTTCTCCCAAAATGTTTGTCTGAGAAGACTGGATTCCTGAGAAGGCCCTGCTTGTTTCCCCAATTTCTTTTTCACGCATATAAGTTCTTCTGGATCTCTTTGGCTACACCAGGAAAGAAAGTAGATTGAACTTCTGAATATTAGTAACAAAATAAATATATTCCAGACACAGTTATCAGTGATCACTAACCTTGTTGAACACAACCTCAATCATGCTCTCAATTGGTTTCTTGATGAGTCCACAAACACGACACACTTCTCCAATATCGTCCTTGCAGATGAAGGAATGGTCACAGTCTTCGACTTGTTTGTGATCATTACTTTGTGAATCTTCCACCGTTACCTAACCAAGAACATAGGAAAAAATCATCTGAAAACGCTAAAAATGCATAGAGAAGCAGACACCTGCTCCAGAACTCAAATCTATATGCAAATCAAAGAAGGTCTATTCACTGGAAATGTCAACCTTAATTGATTCTTGAGCAAAAGCCATCTGCCTCCAAAGGTCTTCTTCTTCATCTGCATCTACATATACAGGACTTTGATTGTCAATATCAGTTGAATCCCTCGATGAATCCTCCTCGTCATAACCTTGTGGACTCATGTCAGATCCTGAGCTTTCTCCACTCTTCACAACAATCACTTCCTTGAGCTTCTTCAGCCTTTTTTCTAGAGGCTGAAAATTGCAAAACGAGATCATAAAGACTTAAACTTGGCAACAAAAGATAAACCAGATTAATTATAGACAAACATTTAACAAATGAACATTAATTTCTGTGATTAAAGCTTACAGTAACTGATTCTTGAGGCAACTTGACCGGTTTGTTCTCTTCTCTAGCTTCGACATCTTCCAATGAGATAGAACCATTCAAATATTCCTGTCTCAGCTTACAAAGTCTCTTAACATCATCAGCAAGACATCCGTATATACCATCTTCAAGCCCATCAAGAAGATTCGGTAGACTGAATGGGTCGGGACGCTTGGCAAGTTCTTCTTGAGTAATGCTCCTGCTACGTGACCTCAAAGTCCAAGCTGTGTACATCATCAATCACCAGTAAAAATTAGAAGCAGAAACAAAAGGCATCTTCACCAAAAGGGGTTTAATTTCTTCAAACAAACTCAAAAAAAAGAAACGATTTTTAGGTCAAAATCTCATCCAGCAACAAATCTACAGTCATAAATGAACTCGGAAACTAAAAAACACCAATGTGGGTTTTAGAATCAACAGATTCTGTTTAGCTCTAGAAATCAAGCAAAACCCATTTGGCTTTTTAGATTTGCACACTCAAATTCTGAATCTTTAAACTTTCCATAAACAGAGACTAATCTTCTTCTTTCAGCAACAAGAGAGGTTACAGAAGAAAAAAGAAACGAGAGTGTAACGTACGCGTCTCCCTTGGCTTCGAAAATGGAAAGTGATTAGTACCCACCATGTTTGATCTTCGCTAAGCAGAGCTCCTTAGATCAAAACTACGACTACAAACATGTAAAAGACTCCAAAGATGCAAGCTTTATGCATGAATCAGAGAGATTTTAAGCAAAGAAGACAAATAGATCTACTTTTTTTCTGGAAAAATTGAAGCTTTTTGGTTTCCCATAATAGAAGTTAGTCATGGTGGCAAAGTGGCAAAGGAGAGAGACAAGAACACGGACGGTTTCGGAAGGTCAATAAGACAAATCAATATACACACATCTATTATATCTATACACTTAAACTTGCTCTCTACTCTGAGTGTTGTGTGTAGTATGTATATGTTAACAATGTTATGTTGTCTACAATACCATGGCATTTCGAAAATCTTTTAAAACATTTCAAACTTATGCTCAGCTTAGTGTACTCATATTTTGGTGGACTCATGTTTAATTTATGTCTATCTCTTCCATATATATCTATGTAGGAATAGAAATGAGCTATATGTACCCATGCTAATCTAAAAAAGGTTTTAGATGATTGAGTGTCGTCCTTTCGAGAAAATCCGATAAAGAAAGATGATTCGTGTGAATACTTCAATTGGTATGTTAGGGTTCCAAGGAGTTTTAAGTTTTGGCGGTAAAGAAAAAAGTAACTAACCGTTTCGGTCTCTAAAAACGCGAATAAAATAAAATTTTAAAGGACTTTAATTAATAGATTAGTTTTCGCGGGAATATTTAAAATACCGTTATGTTTTTTTTTTTGGACAAACAAATACCGTTATGTTTATATCACTTAACATATTAATTATTTTTGTTAGATTTTTTGCATCAAGTTTATATATGGTCAATTTCGGAATATCTTCACATAAATTGACGAATAGCTTCACATATATGTTAAGCTAGTATGAACATGAGATGGACAATGTATTATTAGTTATATGATTATTTTCCTGTTTCATAATAAAATTTTGTTTAATAATTTCAATGTATCACAAAAATGCCCTTTTTTCAATATCCTTTTTCAAAAATACCCCTTTTTTAAAACCTTATAAAAAATGCTCTTAAAAATATAAGATTTACCCAAATATGTATGTAATATTATTAAAACATACACAAACTACATTTCTATGTATCTAAAATCTTATAAATACTTTATAAATACCTTATAAATGCATTTTAAATACCTTTAAAACCTTTAAAATATCTTGTAAAACCTTTGAAAAACCTTAAAAATCCTTTAAAATAACTTGTAAAACCTTTAAAAACACCTTATAAAACCTTATAAATACTTGGATCGAGTCTTCAAGTAGTAGTTACAATCCATAAGTACCTTATAAACCTAATAAAACTTTATAAAAATTTCAGATTTAAAAAGGGGCATTTTTGAAAATGGACATCTAAAAAGGGCATTTTTGAAAAGGGGCACACCAAAAGGGGTATTTTTAACAATTTATCAAATTTATTTGTCAAATTTTAACCAAAAATTAATTCTTAGTCAAACACTCCAACCTATTAACTTTGGAAAAAACTTGGCAATTTATTCAAAAGCCAATAGTCATTTTCCAATTTTTATACTTATTTACCTAATATAGACTTGTCAATATGGTAATACTATATTATTTTTTGTCAACACAGCTTGTATCTATATATACATTTTTGGATCACAATTAGCAAATAAATCCTGGAGTTGGGAAGTATTTACAACTTATGCCATTGGCATTTATTATTAAGTTACAAAATTTAAATAAAAGATATTAACCAAACGATATCTTGCCTAATTTGTTTCTAAAAATCTCTACACAATCTTTCCATATATCTTCAAAAAAAATAAAATATGCATAAATCCGATTTATAGCAAATATTTATATCAACATTTTGCATAACAATAAAAAATACTAATTTATAATAATCAAAATATTCACATAGAAAAATCATATACACATACATGAAAAAGAACTATATATATTATCATTTAAACCGTTGCTTTATTTAAATAAAAAAAAAACACAAAAACTTGAAATCATATACTTTATATGATAAATTTAAAATATATATTAGTAGTATAAATTTAAAATCATTCACGGAACGGTATACCACGGGTGAGATCCTAAAATTATTGGATTTTATAATAATAAGAATTTATTTTCTTGGATTTTATAACACTAATAATTTAGCTAACGGGATAATATAGATGGGTTTATATGGGATGACGGGGTTTGGATCGATATTAATAAAGAACAGTTTATCACGGATGAAATCCTAAAATTAACAATCAAAATACAATTATACAACCTTAAACACAAACAAAACATACAATATTAACAAGATAAATATAACTTGAAATTTAAAAATTTTAGTTATAAAAAAATCGACCCACGGTATACCGCGGAGTAAAATATTCAAAATTTTAAAATCTACCATACATCGTTACTTTAAAAAGTGTATTTTTTCGAATCTATACTTCAAAAATTGAAACCTAAAAAATAGTAATCATACACTAAATAATACATAGATAGATATCTACATTTAAAAATACAAATTAATATGATATATTTTCAGTTAATCTTTAAAAAAATGACGTTATAGCCCCGCGGTGTACCGCGGGTTAAATTCTAGTAATATTACAATTATACTATTTTATTTAATAAAACAAAAACTGCAGGTTGAATACAAATTATACTAAATATAGGAAATAATATTAAGAGGGCTTTTTTTTTTTTTTTTTAATCAAGAGAATACTTGATACCACAACAAAAACCACTACTTTCATTCTTCAACTTGTTTGTGATCATTACTTTGTGAATTCTCCACCGTTACCTAACCAAGAACATTAGGCAAAAAAATCAGCAGAAAACGCTAACCAGATACATGCTCAAGAACTCTAATCAATATATGCAAATTAGAGCTCTGTGATTGACTGAAAATGTACAGGAAGTAACCTTAATTGATTCTTGAGCAAAAGCCATCTGCCTCTAATGTTCTTCTTCTTCTTTTGCATCTACATCCATGGGAGTTTGATTGTCATTAACAGTAGAATTCCTCGTTGAACCCTCCCCAACACAAACTTCTTGAAGACATCCTGAGCTATTTCCATAAGAACTGTTTCGAAGAGCATTGCTAGTAGAAGCCGAGCCTTTAGTCAACTTATCATAACCAGAGAACCAAGGTTCATCGTCATCCACAACAATCACTTCCTTGAGCTTCTTGTAAAACTATGAATTGAATAATATTCGGCTTCCGTTTATTAGACTCTAAGGTCAAGTATTTATACAAAGCTTAAGAGACAAAAGCCCTAATCTAACAACTTGGAGATCAAGCTAAAATATATACAAGAGATTTGCTAATATCAACAATAATAGGAATATATCCTTAATACCCCCCTTCAAGTTGGAGCATGTAAGTTTTGAATGCCCAACTTGAGAAGAAATGCATCAAACTCCTTGCGTCCTAAAGCCTTTGTAAGAATATCCGCGAGTTGATCCGTTGTAGACACATGTATCGGCTTGACGACGCCTTTGAGAACTTCATCACGAACAAAATGACAATCACGCTCAATGTGTTTAGTACGTTCATGGAAAACCGGATTGGAACTAATATGAATGGCTGCCTTGCTATCACACATAATCGTCATTGGGTCGTGATGATCAAAACCAAGATCTTGAAGTAGTTCCTTGAGCCATTTGAGCTCTTTAGTCACAGCATTCATAGCTCGATATTCAGCCTCCGCTGAGGACATAGAGACGACATCTTGCTTCTTAGACTTCCACGAAATAGGAGAAGAACCGAGCTGGACAAACCAACCCGTCAAGGAGCGACGCGACAATGGGTCGGTGGAAAAATCAGAATCACACCAGCCGGTTAAATGAAGTGGTGAATCTGCTCGGAGAAGAATACCTTGTCCAAGAGTTCCCTTAAGATACCGTACAACCTTCAATGCCGCAAGCCAATGTTCCGCACGTGGAGCTGTCATGAATTGAGAAAGGACATGGACAGCATAAGTGAGGTCGGGTCGTGTAGCGAGGAGATACACAAGTCGTCCGACAAGGCGCCGGTAAGTATGTGGATCGGCAAGTAGAGCACCACTAGCAAGCGGAAGACGGTGATTTTGATCAATTGGAGAACCTGCCGGTTTACACCCAAGAAGACCCGCCTCAACAACAATCTCAGTGGCGTACTTACGTTGACATAAATAGAATCCCGAAGAATTCCGAGCTACCTCTATCCCCAAAAAATATTTCAAAAATCCAAGATCCTTCATATGAAAGCATGTAGATAAATAATTCTTGAATGTCTTGATTTCTTCTTGAGAATTTCCAGAAATTATCAAATCGTCCACGTACACCAAAATTCGGAGAGAAATGCCCTTCTTCGAGTAGACAAATAGAGAATAGTCGGATTTAGTTTGAGAGAAACCATATTTAAGAAGAGAATCCACAAGTTTGGCAAACCAACACCGAGGAGCTTGTTTTAAACCGTATAGTGACTTACGAAGACGACATACACGAGTCTCATTAGGAGAAGAAAAACCTTGTGGAATTTTCATGTAGACTTCCTCATGGAGATCACCATGAAGAAAGGCATTGTGGACATCCATTTGATGGACTTCATGATTCTTCTTAGCCGCATAATCAAGAAACATGCGAACCGTAGTCATCTTAGCTACCGGTGAAAACGTCTCCGTATAATCAATACCTTCTTCTTGATGATTTCCAAGGACAACAAGACGAGCTTTATGTCTTTCAATCGAGCCATCCGAACGAAGCTTAACCGTAAAGACCCACTTACTTCCAAGTGCTTTCTTATTCGGTGGCAGCTCCTCAAGATCCCATGTATGGTTTCGTTGTAATGCGTCCACCTCGGAACCCATAGCATTTTTCCAAACCTCGTACTTCATAGCTTCATTAAAAGAACGCGGTTCCATATGTGTTGTGAGAGCCGCCAAATAAACCTGATGATTAGCAGAAAATTTCTCACAAGAGAGATAATCAGAGATAGGATATAACACACCTGAGGATGGCTTAAGAGAGGGTGACGATGGAGAGAGAGAGGGAGGAGTCACGGACGCTGTACCAACCACATAGTCATGAAGTCTAACGTTTGGAATTTTTGGTCTCTTGCCTTGACCCAACTCTTCAACTATTGGTGTTTCGGTACTAACATGAGCCTCCGTTAAAATTTCAGCCCTTATACCCGTCTCTTGTTCCGGTGAAGTGTCTTTACTAGGAGAAGAGTCATGTGTAGTTGCGGAATGTCCAGACTCTTGAAGTAGCGGAATGGGATCATCATCAGGAGTAACAACTCCAATCACCGGT